CTCTCGGATAATCTGCTCTGCATACATGTTGAAAAGGTATGGAGACAGGATGCATCCCTGGCGTACACCCTTCCCAATTTTGAACCATGCAGTGTTAACAATATCACTAATATCACACACAAACAAAATCCTACTGAAGATCATTACAAAATGATGGAAACAGTAACAGTATATCGATCAGGAACTACTAGAAATTAAAAAAAACCCACAAAAAAAATAAAAAAAGAAATACAAACTGGCTTTAGAAGAGGTCTGGACACCAGAGACATTATCACCACTGGCAGATGAATCTTGGCAAAAAGCAAAGAGTATGAAAAGAAATGTCTATCTGTGTTTCATTGACTATCCAAAAGCATTAGACTGTGTAGATCACAACAAATTGTAGCTAAATTAAAATTAAAATTCCAGAGCACTGACTTGTGCTCATGCAAAACTTATACTCAGACCAGGAAGCAGTCCTCAGAACAGAGCAAGGAAACATTGCATGGTTCAAAATCAAGAAAGGAGTGCATCGAGATGTGTCCTTTCTCTATACTTTTTCAATCTATATGAAGAACAGATTATTTGGGAAGCTGGGCTTTATGAGGAGGAATGTGGCATCAGAATTTGAGGAAGACTCATCAACAACCTACATTATGCAGATGACACAACCTTGCTTGCTGAAACTGAGGAATACCTGAAGTGCTTGCTGCAGAAGATCAAAGGATGTAGTCTTCAATATGGACTGAAGGTAAACATTAAGACAAAGATTCTCATCACTAGGCCAATTTGCAACATCATGATAGATGGAGAAGAGATTGAAATTGTTAATAGCTTCAGCTTGCTTGGCTCCACAATCAAAACTCTTGGCACCAGCAATCAGGAAAACAAAAGATGAACTGCACTGGGAAAATCTGCTGTCGGGGACCGCTCCAGAGTACTGAGAAGCAACAGTGTTAGTCTAGAGACTAATGTGTACCTGATTCAGGCCATGATTTTTGTAATTACTTACTATGAGAGAGCTGGAAAATAACTAAGGATGATGGAAGAACTGATGCCTTTGAGTTGTGGTGCTGGGAAAGAGTCTTGGACATACCATGAAAACAAGTAAATCTGTCTTGGAGAGGGTGAAACTAAGTTTTTCCTAGGAGGCTAGGATTTTGAATCTCCATTTCACATACTTTGGACATGTGGCCAGAAGAGACCAGTTCTTGGAGAAGGACATCTTGCTTGGAAGGGTGAAAGAACAGTGCAGCACAGGAAGATCTTGGATGAAAAAGATGGATACGATAACTGGGGCAATGCTGTTGTATATAGGGTCACTGTGAGTCACAGAATACTCGATGGCACAGAAAAACAACATGGTAATCTCCATGTCATGAATTATTCTTTGGAAACATAGCTTATATTTGCCCAATAAGTCCATATGTGAAGTTATGAAAGTGTGATATATGCTTCCATTTTTTAATTTTAATAATGTGCTTTATTTCACAACAACATGAAAAAACTCATTTTATCATAAACATCAATGAGATATTTGGCATTTTTAAATGTTAAATATTTTCTTTTATTGTTTTGCTTACAAAGTTTATATACATTGTGTTTCACAGTTCTCTTCATTCACGTTGTATTTCATACAACCATTCTCATGTGTTATGTTTTACAAAATTAATCACCATTGGACCTTGCCCATCATTACCCTGTCTTTTCACTGGGATCCTTCTCCCCACCCCTAAACTGTACAACTCTCTGCCTCTACCCTTCCTCAGCCCTCCTCACCTTGAGTTTCCATACATGTTTTACTAGTTATCCTTATATTTTTACAATAATTTTCTTATGCAGCACTCATCCTTATGAGACCACGTTAATTCACTCAGCATAATGCTCTCCAGTCTCACAAAGGTACAAAGTATTTTTTGAAATTGTTAGTGCTGCATAGTATTCCATCATGTGAATGAAGAAAAATGCAAATCAAAACCACAATGAGATGCCTTCTCATTCCAGTAGCGGTGGCAAAGTTTAGTAGGGCAGCAAGCAATAAATGTTGGAGAGCAATAATTGTTGGAGAGGATGTGGAGAGGTGGGAACTCTCATATACTGTTGATGGGAGTGAAAAATGATGCAACCTCTATGGAAGACAGTTTGACATTTCAAAAAGTTGAATATAGAAACCCCATATGACCCAACTATTCCACTACTAGGAATTTACCGCAAGGAAATTAGAACTGAGACACAAATGGAGATTTGTTTGCCACTGTTCATAGCAGCAGTGTTATTATTCACCATTGCAAGAACGTGGAAACAGCTCAAATGTCCAACCACACTGAACTGATTGAGAAATTGTGGTGCTTACATTTAAAAAAAAACAAACATATTTATTCAGTAGAGAGAAACATTAAGATTTTGGCATAAGTCTAGATGTATATAAGTCTAGATGGTAAGATTAGTTTCATTTTCACAGTTTATTTCACAAAATTGATAAAATTTCAACAATGTCAGTATTTTTTATATGAAGAAAATTATTTTTTAAAAGCATTAAAATAATCAGTGCCAGTAATGATCACTTAGAAAATATAAAGAAGAATTTGGATCAAGATTGTAGGTTGTACTTAAGCCTTTCTTCAGTCTCAAATCCCTTAAACTGAAAGAAAATAATTTTCATTTATAAACTCTGTGGGTATGTGGGTTGAATAATGTCAAATACAACAAACAAAGGCTTTGTGAGGAATTCCTACAAGATAGAAAGCAGATGGAGCAGCCCTGAAGGAAATTGGTGGAGGTCTGGTGGGGGAAGGGAGTCAGTTTGACTCATATTTAAGAGAAGCAATCTGGGAAGTGTGAGCTCCTGAGTCTATGTGGACAGAACACTGGCGGGAGAACTGACCACTCGAACTGCTGGCAGGGGGCGGGGCAGATGTGAAGGCGGGCTTAGAGCGTGTAGCTCTCCAAAGCTGTAAAAACCGTTGCACCGGAGGTAGCTCAAGCAGAAGCGAGCTGCTAAGCTTAGTGAGCTCTTCAGAGCACTGTGCCTTTTCAGCCTTCCTTGCCGGCTCTCCCTGCTGTCTTCTGCTCCATCTTCGTGCCACAGCTGCAGCAGCAGTGACAACAAGATCTAAGTTAAGTGGTTGACTGGGGGATTTGGGGTTGGTGAGTGGCGGCGGGCTCATCGCGCGGGCCGCACATGCTAGCCCGCCATCTCCCACTGTGGCTGCCACTGTTGTAGTCTTCTCTTCCTAGCAGAAAGAGAAAAGATCTGTCAACAGACGCAAGCCACACAAGTGCTTACTACAAGCGTTAGAGTGTTTTTGCCAAGGCCAGGTAACAACCCTGAGTTTGAGGAAAGGAGAAGAGAGAAGGACTTTGAAATCCTCCCCCCAAAACGCCTCATATTAGTGTTGGCTATTTGTCAATTTATTGATCAAGCGACACTGGTCCAATCACCTTAAAAACCAAGCAAGCCATGTCACCCCCAACCTTGCCTCCCATAGGCGTAGATGGCGTGTCTGCATACCTGATGAAAAAAAGACACACTCATAGGAAGCAGCGGCGCAAACCCTCTTTTCTCACTCGCAAGAACATCGTGGGCTGCCGCATTCAACACGGCTGGAAGGAAGGGAACGAGCCTGTGGAGCAGTGGAAGGGCACTGTGCTTGAACAGGTTTCTGTGAAGCCCACTCTCTATATCATCAAATATGATTGCAAAGATAGTGTGTGTGGACTAGAACTGCTTCTGGACAAAAGAGTTTTGGCGCTAGAAATCCTTCCTGAAAAAGTGCCAACTCCACATATCGATTCACGCTTGGCAGATTCCTTGATAGGCAAGGCAGTGGGACATGTATTTGAGGGGGAGAAAGGCACAAAAGATGAATGGAAAGGGATGGTTCTGGCTCGAGCCCCTGTGATGGACACTTGGTTTTATATCACCTATGAAAAAGACCCTGTTCTCTATATGTACACACTGCTGGATGACTACAAAGATGGTGACCTGCACATCATCCCAGATTCCAACTACTATTTCCCTGTGGCAGAGAGGGAGCCAGGAGAGGTGGCAGACAGCCTTGTGGGCAAGCAGGTAGAACATGCCAAAGATGACGGGTCCAAGAGAACTGGAATTTTCATCCATCAAGTAGTGGCCAAGCCATCAGTCTACTTTATTAAGTTTGATGATGATATTCATATTTATGTCTATGGTTTGGTGAAAACTCTGTAAATTTATTGTACACTTTGTAAAAGTTGTGGAACTGTTTAATGTAAAATGTTTCACTTTGTAGTAATTATGAACTTTTGAGTAATGTCTTGGTGTCAGAGATTATGAAAAGTGGTTAAATCTTACTTTGCTGCCAAATCTAAATCTTTACATTACTAGTCTGACAGTTTTGTCCCAAGAGTACTTATTGAATTGATATCTTCTTTTGTAATTGAAAAATTTTAATTGGTGATAATTGAAAACAGGCGTCCAAAACCATCAGAGCAATGTAAGCACCTATTAAAAAATAATTGTATACTTTAGTCACCTCCTTTCCCTCTGTCCTTTCTTTTTTCTCCTTGCTCCCCAGGTAACATATGTTAAGAACGCTAAGTATCCTGTTTTCTCCTTGCTCAAACAACAGCAACAAAATTGTTATTGTCTTTTTGTATAAAAAACATTATAAGCCATGCACATTTTTCTGTTACTGCTTTTCTCATATGGTTTATCAATGACATCACTTCTGATCAATAGGTGCATATCAATTTGGTAGTTTTTCTTTTACTTGCTGAATGTATAATAAAGAAAAAGCAACTGGACATTTCTTAATGGTGAACATTGATATTATTTTCTTTATTTCTCACCTTAACACTGCTATAATACACACCAGTACTTTCTAAGTTAGATTATGAAAAGTGAGATTAAAGACATGTTTAATTTTAAGACATGTTATAAGATTAGCAGCCAAAACAGTGCTAATTTTCTATTATGTCTCTCTTATCCGAAGAGTGAAACATTACATTGTTGCCTTACATCTAACTCCAATAGGTTATTTTTCATATTGTAGTTGTCATTTGCTGTGCTTACTGATTATAAGAACTTTTTTCTTTTGTAATTTGCAAATTCTTATACTTTGTTAATTTGCCAATTAAATTGGTGACCTTTTCCTTATAAATTTGTGTGAATATTTGCTATATAATCCACATTGATCAATTGTAACAGATATGTGTTATGATATTTTCATTAATCTTCACTTTCCTGATATTTTATTTTATACTTTAAAAAAAATTGCAGTAACACTCTTTCGTGGTATTTTTTAAAAAAAAATTCTTTCCTTTTCCTGCCCTATTCTTAATAATAAAGCTGTTTAAATTTTGATCTCTTTGGATTTTATTTATTAATAGGCCATGGTTTTTGCAATCACTTGTTATGCATCAGAGAGTTGGGCAATGACTAGGGAGGACAGAAGGAGAATTGACACCTTTGAGCTGTGGTGCTGGAGAAGAGTATTGAATGTACCATGGACTGCCAAGAAAACAAACAGATTCATCCTGGAGAGGGTTAAACCAGGCTACTCCTTGGAGGCAAGGATTCTGGGGCTTCGTCTGACATACTTTGGACATGTTGTAAGGAGAGACAGGTCCTTGGAGAGGGACATCATGCTAGGTAGGGTAGAGGGACAGCGCAGGAGGGGAAGACCCTCTATGAGGTGGATTGATTCAGTGACTGGGGTAATCGGGATAGGTGTGTCAGAGGCAACGCGATTGACACAGGATAGAGCAGGGTTTAGGGCTGTTGTACATAGGGTCTCTATGAGTCGCAAACGACTTGACGGCACATAACAACAACAATGTAAAATAGAGGTCTTATATATTTTGCTCACGTTGGCTACTTGATTTCAAATTATTAAACTAATGTCATATTATTTTAATTATATTGCCTTGCTCATTAATTTGAGAATCTAGCAAAGCAAGTCTCTCCTGTATTAGCTTGACTTTCTTCCCTTTCTTTTTGTGCCTTTTAAAAAAAATTTGTTTTATTAGTTTTTTTTTTTTAACAGAGGTTTTGGATTTTCATTCATTCATTGCTGCAATTTTCTCCCTTCCCACCCCTCCCCACCAGCTCGCTTCCCCCTCCGAAGAGAGAAAAAAAAAAGAAAAAAAATTCCTTCATTAGTATACAATTCCCACGTCCCTTCCCCCCACCCCCCACCCCTAGTACACTTTGGATTTCCAGTCATTCATTGTTGCACTTTTCTCCCTGCCCAGCCCTCCCTCCCAGTTCGCTCCTCTCTTTGAAAAGCAAAGGAAAAATTCTTTCACTGGTATACAATTCCCCCCACACTGCACCCGCTCCGCCGCATCACCCCCCCTCCCCCGCCACCGCCCCGAATACACTCCACTACGCAACTTTAATTCTGGACTCTTGTGATAACCATAATACCCTATCATATATCGCTTTTAAATTATTCTCTCCATCATCTGTTTCAATATAGTATACATAATTTATCCAGTTTTTCTCAGTCTTATCCCAACCCTGATGTCAGTCCCATTCTACAACAGTGGCACCACGCAGTATTTGTCCTTTTGTGACTGATATACTTTGCTCAGCACTTTGTCCTCCAGGGTCACCCATTTTGAATAATATTGCATGAGTTCCTTGTTTTTCAATGCAGCATAGTATTCCATCGTGTGAATATACCACAGCTTCTCCATCCATTCTTTTATTGATGGACACATGGGTTGTTTCCAACTCCTTGCCATTTTGAACAAAGCCCCGATAAACACGGGTGTGCATATATCTGCTTGGATGTCAGTTATGGTCTCTTTTTTTTTTTAAATTTAGATTGTTTATTTTTCATTTCAATGAACATCTACAGAGATTTTGGGATTCCATTCATTCATTGTTGCACCCTTCTCCCCGCACAAACCAGATATGGTCTCTTTAAGGTAAATTTCCAGTAGTGGAATTGCTGGGTATCTCTATTTGCAACTTTTTGAGAAAGTGCCATACTGCCTTCTACAGTGGTTGCACCATTTTACACTTCCACCAACCACCAACGGTGAATAAGGGTTCCAGTTTCTCCACAACCTCACCAGCATTTGCTGCTTGCTGTTCTGTCAAATTTTGTTATTCTGACTGGGGTGAGATGATGCCTCATAGTTGTTTTAATTTGCATCTCTCTTAGAGCTAGGGATTTTAAACATTTCTTCATGTGCATGAATGTCTTTTGTGAAGTGTCTGTTCATATCCTGTGCTCATTTTTCAATTGTATTATTTACCTTTATCTTGTTGTGGTGCTCAAGTATTTTATAAATTCTAGATATAAGTGCCTTATCTGACATGTTATTACCAAATACTTTTTCCCAGTCTGTGGCTTCCCTTTTTACCCTGTTGGAGAAGTTTTTGGATGTGCGTAGGGATTTGATTCTTAGAAGATCTCATTCATTCATTTTATCTTCTCCTGATTGTAGATTTTCCAGGATACTTGGAAAACTGTTTATGTTGTGGATTAGGACTACTAGAGTTCTTTCAAGCTTTTCTTTAATGAAGTTTATAGTCCTTGGCTTTATCTCCCTTTCTTTCACACACTTTTTCTTAGACAGTGATACTTTAGTATAAAATTTAAAAATTATTTCTCTAACTTCAAAAATTATTTTATTTTAATTAGGTTTGTATCAGATTTCTATCTATTGTTTAAATAAACAATTATTTTAAAAGTATTATTTCTTAAAACTCAAGAAGTTTCATACATCAGTAAAATATTTAGTCTTACTTTTGTGATTTCTTCATATAAGATCATCATTTCTTCTCGGATGTATTTAAAAGTTTTTCCATATTTTAAATTTTTATCCCCTCATTTACAACTATGCTATTCCTTAACACTCAAGATAATTGATATATCAATAAAATATTTGGCCTTCCTTTTGTAATATTCTTTATAGGGAAATCATCTCTGCTTGAATATATGTAAAAGTATTTTTTGCAACAATGAATGAATGGAAATCCAAAATCTCTGTAAATTTTAATTGAAATTAATAATTAAAGGGGGGGAAAAAGGGAGGCGGGAGAGAATAACAATGTTCAGATACCAGAATAGACGGTTTTGAGCAAGGACACCTCCCCTGCCCCGAGAAAGGGTAAACAAGTGAGGTGAGCCCTACACCTGCTCAAGCCGAAGGCATGAAGACAGCTTCTGGTCTACAGCAGGTGCTTGAAAAAAATAAAATAAAATTTTAAACAAGTAAAAAAATGTATTTTTACAGGGTATTTTGGGTCACATTTTTTATTTTTTCCTTCCTCATTTATAACATACTTTCAAGAAACAACTTAAATACTCTAAAGTATGTTCTTAAAATTGAATTTTGTGGGCTTTCTCTATACACAATCATTTTTTCTGAAATTAGAGATAATTTTATTCTAATTTTTATGCTTATTATAGTATTAAATACTTGTTTCTCAGTATTATGTGGAATAGTGACAGGCACACATATTGTTTTTATTTTTGGTGGAAATGTCTTGAATATTTTATGTTAACAAGGTATTTACTCTTGGTTATTGGTAAATAGTCTTTGCAGTCACTTGCTTTGTAACTCAGAGCAAAGGATGAGAGGAGAAGAATCAGTGAATTTCATTTGTGGTGTTAGAGTGGCGAATATCCTATGAATAGGAAAAAGAGCAAACGTAAGTCTTGCAGAATATTGGAGGAACGAATGACAAAGCTTTGTCTCACATACTTTGGACATATTGTTAGTAGAAGCTGTTCCTTTTCGGAAAGGGACATTATACTTGGAAAGATGGAAGGTCAGCAAAGGAAGAATCCCAAGAAGATGGATTGATACAGTGTCTGCAGCAAGAGGCTCAAATGTGTAGGGTTCATATCTGTTGTTCGTATGGTCACTAGGAGTCACTCAACTCAGTAGCACTTAACAACAATAATATTGGTAAAACCCTGTGGTATTTTTCCTTTAACTTGTTGATATACTGAATGATTCATTGTCATTGCTGTTGAGTCTGTAAATCACGTGAGAGGAAATTGCCTTTCTCCCATGGATCCAGATAACTGCAATTTTTGGATTAGCAGTGCAAATCTCTAAGAACTAACCACTAGAACTCCCTTCCTAGTAATGAATGATAGCACTTAGTATTTGGTGTTGAATCAAACCTGTATTTCTGAAATAAGTTCTACTTGGTCATGTTGTTATTATCTGTTGTCAAGTCATCTGTGACTCATAGTAACCCTA